TTTTTTTTAAGGATTTGTATTTTGAATTTCTTTAAATTCCCCATAAAACCAGAATAAATGTAATTTTTTAATCAAAAATGGGGATGTACATATGTAAATTGTGTTTGTTGAATAAATTGTGTCTTATTAGCCCAGACGCTGGTGGGTGGTGGAATACCAAGGGCTGTGAAATAGTGTCCAAGCAGTATGGATATACTGTGTGCTACTGCAACCACACCACCAACTTTGCATTACTGCTGCAGGTGTATGAAGCCCAGGTAATATTCCTCTACTCAGCTGTCACGGCTGTGGTACTCTGGATTTTATTTGTGCTTTCATCTTCACTATGAGCTATTAATACAACATTTGCTCTGTGTGTGTGTGCGTGCGTGCGTGTGTGTGTGTGTGTGTGTGTGTGTCTGTAAATGTGTGTTACTGTGTCAGAGGAGCCCAGAGAATGAAAAAGCTCTGCAGGTGCTGACGTTCATTGGCTGTGGAGTGTCTCTGTGTGGCCTCCTCTTCACCTTCATCCTCTTCATCTCCGTGGGGTGAGTCACAAACGTCACAGAGTGCACTCTGTAAAGCATCAAGGGTGAAAAGCATTTCATATAACCCTGCTAGATTCCCATCAATAAATGGAGCGGAAAAAAGCAGAACATTGTGCTCTGTAGATGTGTGAACAGCATCGCAGTAAAACTTTTTTAATCCCGAGAACTGCTGTAAGAGCTTTGCTCACATATTTTTACTGTGTGTCCTTGCGTGTGTGTGTTTGTACAGTGTCCCTAAATCAGACCGCACAACTGTCCATAAGAACCTTATAGTTGCTCTGGGAGTGGCTGAGCTGCTGTTGATGTGCAGCAGTTGGGCTTCTGAAAACGAGGTGAGTCTTTGCATATAATTGAACACATCAAGTGTTTTAAAAATAAAAATACATGAAATTAAATCAAGCAATTTCTAAATCCTGAGAACTTTGTAACTTTATGTTCTTAATATTTACTGGCAAACCCAGCTGGGGTTTAAGGAAGAGCAAATGAATATCCCCCATTTAAAAACAAAGAAAAATCCTGTTTGGACACCCAAGTGGAAAATATCTGAATTTTTATAGGTCATTTAGAGCGAGATCAGCATCAGTGTTGATCCTAATCCTACGCTATCAGAATGTGGATTTTGTAAAAAGCTTTTTGCTCTTAATAAATTGATAATTTATTATTAATTGTTTATTGATAATTGCTTTATCTGAAACATTTAAGTGTGAAGAATATGCAAATAACCAAGATTTTTTTCACTACATTTCATATTTAAATGAATAAAATGATGTTTGTCATGTGGTTATGTTTCAGTTTGTATTCCTTTTATGTCAGAGTCTAAAAGACTCAAACGCGGACTCAGAATGAAGTTTGGTGAACTTATTTACAGTGGCTGGAAACGGTGGGCTCGAGCTGAGAGACGTGGAACATGGATGCACATGTT